TTAATTAATAATTAAATATTATGATATTAATTTAGATGGGTATTTAAATAGTAGATTTGAGTAATCTGACATAGGCGGTGTTTGACAAGATTTTTTTTTTGGGGTTTTTTTAAATTTTTTTCACTAAAAGACAGTTTTTACACTAAAAGACAAAGTTTTTACAAAACCAAAAAAATTAAATCCAAACAAAATATCATATCCAACCCCATAATCATTTCACTTTTTCTCTCACAAACATCACATCCAATCACAAAAAAATCCAACTATCTTTTCAAACACCAAAAAAAATTTCTCCAATAATATCCTACAACTAAAAAAACCTATATAAAAACCCACTTCTCAAACACTCCCACTCAAATCAAACATCTTTTCCAAAACTATTTTCAAAACTCTTTACCAAACAAATTTTCTACACTCAAATCATAATTTTACAACACACAAATTCAAAATACAATTCATACTCTCAAATCACATTTACAAAACACAACCAAACGCAACCTCACATATTTGTATAGGTATCTAATTCAATTTTTTTTGAAACACACTCAATCAGATAAACTCAACTGAAAATAAAGAGTAAATGTAGAATTCTATAAATATAAGATAAAAATTAAAAAAAAAAGAGTTTAAATTATAAGAATATAGAAAAGAAAAATTACATAAATCATAGAAAAATGATAAATTTAACTAAAAATCAAGAGCAAGAGTGAAATTTTGTAAACATAAGATAAAGATTAAAAAAAAAAATTGAACATAAACTATAATAATATAGAAAAAGAAAATTAGATAAATCTTAGAAAAAAGAGATAGAGAGAAATCTAGTAAAACATCAAATGAAGATTAAAAAAAATAAAATTGAAATTTAAAAATTTAAAAATAAGATAAGATAAAACTGAAAAAATAAAAAAAAATAAAAATATATAATATAACTCTTCCTCATGTGTTACAACAAAGTCGAACACATAAATTAAAATAATTGAAAAAAAATAAATGAAAAATAAATAAAATTGAACAAAAACTTCTTTTAAACTCATGAATGTGTTCCAAATATAAAAAAATTGAATACACCAAATAAACTCAAACTAAAAACAAATAAGCCAACAAAAAAAAATACAAAAAAAATCCAATATGAGATTTTATGTAAAAGAAAAAATGAAGAAAGAAACGAATGAAATACTCTAGATAACTTCGGATTATCTATGGTTGTTTTTTTTGGATTATCTTGGATTTGCTTCTTCAGAACTCCTATTTTCAAGAAAATAAAATTTTCTTTGAATTCTAATTAAAAAATTTTGAGCTTGTTTGGTTTGTGTTTGTAGAGTAGTTTTTAAAATAAAAAGTACAAAAACTTATTTGGTTTGCCCTTTTTCAAAAATGATTTTGGGAAATTATTTTGGGAAGAGAGTTTTTAAAAAAGTGATTGATTTGATGTGTATGAGAGAGAGAGTGATTTTGGAAAGAAGCAAACCAAACAAAATTTTGAGATTTTTTTTGAAAAAATTTGTTTGGTTTGATTACTCTTGAAAATTTATTTGTAGAGAATTTTTCTCAAAATTTTTTTCCAAAAACAAACCAAACAATTAATTTGGGAACAACATTTTTTCGTGCTAAAAAATAAAATAAATTAAAAAGCAAGCAAGTCTAAATCATGTGAAATGTAATAATGAAAAAGATGTGTAAATAAATAGAAAAATACAAGAAAAAATAAATATATACACACAAAACAACAAATATTGAAAATGCATATAAAATAATAAATAATATTACACTGACCTTGTAATAATCAAACTTGTAAAATGTAACAGTAGAGAATATGAGTTATTCGCATAAAAGGTGGATAGAGAATGAATAACATTGTCAAATACACATAAAGTAAGAAATAAAGTATAAAAATGGAAAATATCAAAAGATTTGCAATGAATTGAAAAATATTGAGAAAATGAAATATATACACACAAAGTAATATATACACACAAAGTAACAAAACTAAAAAAAATGCACGTAAAGTAAGAAATAATATTAGATGAGGAGTAGGTTTTTTTTTGGATTAATAACGTGATATTAAATTGAAAGTGGGATAAATATTATTGTGGGTGATGGATGGGAATTGTAAGAGTTGTGGATAGATATTATTGTCGATGATGGATGTGAGGAGTTGTAGGAGTTGTGGGTTTGTTTTTTTTGTTTTTTACAATGTGATATTAAATTAAGAGTGAAATAAATATTATTGCGGATATGAATGAATATTTTATTATTTTATTTTTATTTTGTATTTTATATAAGGGATAGTGAGTAAGAAGGACTGAATTGTGTGAAGGAAGATAACGGGAGGTGTCATATATTATTTTTTCTCTTTTCAAAATTATGAAAATTTAGTATCCAAATTTTAGAGTCTTTTAATCTAACAATTATATTTGATTTTGTGGTGTTTTAGGAAATTGATAAAAAGTTGATTTTTTAATTTTTTTTGACAAAAAAACTGACTTCTTTGATTAAAAAAGTTAACTTTTTTTCACTAAAATAATTAAAAAGTCAAAAAATTGACTTTTTAGATTCTTCCCAACGTGCCCCTATATATATATATAGGGTCCGTTTGATAAGAGCTAAACGGAACTTTTTTGGCTATTTTAGTCACAAAAGACAAAATAGACTATTTTAGTCTCAAAAAATAAAATATCACATTCAACCCATAATCATTACATTCTTCTCTCATAAAAAAAACTAAAAAGTCAAAAAGTTATTCCCAAACTAAACTTTTTAGCCCAGACTAAAATAGTCAAAAAAATTAAAAAATTAAAAAATCAACTTACTTCCCAAACGGTGGCATAATAAGTTAGCACCCTTTTTGGTTTTTTTTTTAAAATTATTTATTAAAATAATTAATTCCCTTACTTATAAAATTATTTACGTCAGAACTAATACGAAAGAACACGTAAATAATCTGACGTGGTAATGATACATCTCATTAAAAGTGATATTTTAAAGCATCATTAATGAGTTAATAAATATTTTAAATAAAAAAAAAAACAAGACACAAACAGTGAGCTCTGTTCAATGTCACATTACTAATAGTGTTTTTAAAACACCACTTTTAATGATCTGAAGTATTATTGTATTATGAAAATAGACAATAATTACTGCAAACCTGGACAGGTCTGAGGCCACCACGAGGTCTGTCCACAATAAAGTCGTGCATTATCTATAAAGACGTGCACGATGTGACAGATCCTCACATAATGCATGTAACTTTGGAAAAGCGACAATTCCAGAGGTAAAAAAATATTAACAAATTAATATTTATGGTAAACAACACTTTTCACAATTATATTTTGTACGGAATTGTTTGAGATGAATTGAATGAATGTATTTTTTTAATTTTTTTTATGAAATATAAATTGAGTATGGGAGGGGTATGAAGTGATGTAGGAAATTTGGTTTTATTGGCGTTTCAAAAACGTCGCTAAAACTATTAAAAATGTCGTCAAAACATATATTGACGTTTTAAAATTACGTCAATAATGCAGCCGTCGCTATAACTTAGTGGCCTTTATAAACGCAGTCCAAGTATTTTGCAACACTTTTTTAAACGTCAGCATAGAACCTACGCACAAATGACGCCATACTAGCTTATAGGGGTGTTTTTATTAAAACGTTGCTAAAAGATTTTTTTTTCAAAATAAAAAAATCTGAACCTAATCAGAATTTTTTTCCAAACATGAATTGCTCCCTCAAAAAAAAAAAAAAAAAAAAAAAAAAAAACAAGAAAAAAACCAACAAAAGCAAAATTTAAATTACACAATTCACAATAACTGAAACATTTAATCACCTTTAACATTCAAAATAAATTGGAACCAATTAAGCCATAAATTTTTTTAGAAAAATACAAATTTGACCAATAGAAATTTATGACCTAACAAAAAATTAAAAATATTTACAAACATGAACAGATCACGACACACTACTACTTCATGACATTAAGTTCACTTTCTGCCATGATTTGGAGTGCCTGCACTTAAAACAAAATAAGACATCTATGAAAATTAGACAAATTGTTTTGGATATAATGCGAAGTGAAAGTGATTAAGGATTGATGGAAATATCTATTTCCATCTACTAATAGCAAATATATATACTTACAACTTTAATCTGGTTATTTTTCACCCAATCCACAAACACATTAGAACCATCCACTTCCATTGGACCCACACTACGTCAAAATTGGGCTTTAGCGGCGGTTTTTTACTGCTGTTAAATGATGTAAAACCGTCGTTAAAACCTTTAACAGCAGTTTTGTTACCGCCGTTTATACTCGTGTCGGAAAAGGTACAACCGTTATAAAAAGGTAAATTATCGTTGTTAAAAGTCGACCAAAAACGGCAGTAATATAGAACTAAAAACGGCGGTTCTTTACCGCCTTAGGTTCAAATTTTTTTAAAAATAATTCTCTCTTTTTGCACCCCCCATGTTTTGAACCCTTGACCTCTAATCCATACACACCAACCACTCCACCGCAGCTACTCTATGTGATGTATATTCCCTAAATAAATATTTAAACATTACTTTTGCTTTATTGTAGATGGTCATGTTCAACCTCTGGCCGTGCGTGGTCACCACTCGCCGGAGTTCCGCCGGAGCTCCGCCGGCAAAGACCGCCGTCATTAACAGCGGTAATGAGAGGGCTTTAGCGGCGGTTTCGTTACCGCCGTTAAAAGAGGGCTTTAGTGGCAGTTTTTTTAACGGCGGTTTCATTACCGCCGTTAAAGGTACTTTAGCGACAGATTTTTTTACAGCGGCAACGAAACCGCCGTTAAAGATACATTAATGGCGGTATTAACAGCGGTTTCGTTACCGCCGTTAATAGTATCATTAACGGCGGTAATGAAAACCGCCGTTAATGCCCTGTTTTGGCGTAGTGCCAGATATCCATCATAGCAATCTTTTCACCTTATCGTTACATTTGGTTCATTCTCCAACCATTTCAGAGCTGCACATGTGAGAGAGAGAGAGAGAGCCTGAGAATTGAATTATAGAATGCATAGATTAAAAAAACAGAGAAAACAGAGTGCACTTATACCAGGAACCAAATTAGATTCATTAGTGCCAATGTTGCAATGAGGAGGATAGGGATGTTCGAGTTTTCCAGGATAGTGGGAATTAAGAAATGCAAGAACTGGCCATTTCTTGTTGCAAAACACTTTCGCCAGTCTTGCCGATTCATCAATCATTTCATTGATTTGACTATTGGGCTCTGTGGGTGCCTGAAAAAAACACTCAACCAACCAAACACAAACCCAACCATCATAACATAACAACTCAGTTTCAAACCACAAAGAGAACCAAACAATATGTGTCATGTTAAAAACTCATTTGAGATTAGCTGGTTTTGTGAACAAGCTAAACTAGAATAGAATTTAAAATCGCTAAGTTTTTTAAGCCAAGTTTAAACAATCTGCTGTACAAGTGGGTTAGCAGATGGGGGACAAAATTGCTTGAATATTCTTCCATCTAGCGGAGATACTCGTTTATTTAGTATTGCACTATCAATAACAGTCATATATCTATTTTATCAACTTATTCAGTAATTTTTTTTGGCTATCGTCTTATTCTGGCTTGTGTCGATTTGAAGAGAGCAGCAAGCTACACCTGAAAAGCCAAGCTCCGAAAATAATGTAGTTACAATTATCAAACCAAATTAATTTTTTCATTACTAATCTACACATATAAACTTTAAACTTAGAAGATGAAGAAGTTGATTATCAAAGAAGGTCATGTTAGACTGATGGACTAATCCATATTAATTTGAAGTTAAGAAAAATCTATCCATTACAAAATAATTGAAACTGGGTAATAATGAAAAGATAAAGAGAGAGGGGAGGAGAGAGACCAGATTTCCAGGCCCAATGGTGCAGAAGCCATTGATGATGTTGAGTAGAACTAAACCAGTCTTGACATCTTCAGATAAAACTATTGATCCTTCTTCAAATGGAATTTCATTCTTCAAAAGATCTACTATCTTCAATACCATCTTTCAAAACCCAAAAAAGAGAACCGCAAAACAATTCACAAAGCAATTTAATAATTCAACTGTCAAGTGGCTCCATTTAGACTTAAACCTCTAGAGTTTTTACAATTACACAAAGCAATTGGCCTATTTTTCCACTCATTTGAATTACTATATAAATATTTATGTACTGAACATCAAAGGAGGAAATGCTTACTTCAACATTGCCCCTTCTAATCTGCATATCAAGAATCAACCACAAGTTAGATTTGATAATCTGCATTCCATTTTCTAATATTAGCATTGAATTGACTAGTCAATTTAAAACAGATTAAACAAAGTTTGAGAAACAAATGGAAAGGTTTTTAAAGCCAATTTACAAAAATGAGGTCAATCAAAAAGGCACGTATTCTTCTATTTATTCATTTACCCATTCTACAAATTCATGCCAAATATCTAATCAGCCCAGTTATTATTATTATTATTACTATTACTATTACTATTACTTTGATAAATAAAAATAGTCAACAGCAAATATAAGTTCTTATTAGGTTTTTTGTTTAGGAATTTTTCTGTAATCCTCTTGATAAATAACAAGCTATTAGAAAAGCATCAAAAGGGGAAGGACTCTATATCTGATCTGCCCATTTCTCTTTTCCAATACTAATCATGCTATACATGCAATCTCAGTTTGGATGTATTTGTTACCACCATTAGAAACAATAAAAACTTTATAGTAGGAGCAGAGGAATAAAAAAATGACATGGAAATTCTCACATTTCAACAAATTTGTGGAAGCCGCCCGCTCATGTAGATGGCTGCCATTCCCCAACCAAGGATGGTCCCAATTTTAGTGCTCCCTGTGCTCCCAGTTTCTTGCAATAAACTACTGCTTACCTGCAATTCCAGTGAGAATCAAATCATGAGAATGATTGACTATTATCAATTTTACAATATTTTCTTTATCATCTATTTTGCAAATATATATATATATATATCCTGTGGAGTCTAGAATTATAGCTGGCGATAGTTCAAGAGTGCAGTTTTTTCGGGGACAAAAAGGTTGTCACACCATCCATCCAAGCATTACAACTATTAGGTCACTTAACAATGACTACATCAAAAGATGATCACTAAATACCAAGTTACAAAAGAATTATTCAATGATAACCTGTTAGTTTTCCTAATAGGACAAACTACAGGACCTAATATTCTGCACAGATAATGAGAATAATAAACCATCAAATTGAGTATGAACATAAGGAGACCATATTGCTTTTAGACTAATGTATTTTTTATTGTGACTATTACCAAATAAAAGAAACTAACTTGATGTTTTTTCTACCTGTAAAAGCTTTCTTCCTACTTGTATCACAACCCCTCAATTTGGCTCTTCAAAAACTGTAAGTCTGAATGTAGCCAGTGATCAAGTTCTAGTTTGAGGCTTGATATTTCTCTTTGATACTTTTTAATCAAAGACTTTTCATAAATAATCTGGAAGAAAAGAGATTTTATAAATCAGCAAACAGGGAACTATATATAAAGTGAATTATTCTTGAAATCTAACAAATGGCTCCCTTGTGGGTTGGGGGGGTCTTGTCTTTACCATATTTTTAAGTGATGGTGGTGGTTTGATAGCAAAATGGTTATGAACAACAAATAGGCTCAATAACCATCACTAGTTGCAGACGCAATAACAATAGTGAATATACTTGACTCTTTAGCCGTAACACCAGCATATTCAAGTTTCTGTTATAAAATTTTCTGATCATATCTTGGAAGGAACATATTAAAGAAAGACTTGAGTTAAACTTAAAAAAAAAAAAAAAAGAACAGTTAAGAGACTTCAGAGATGTTACTCCTTCCCAGCTAATGGATTCAACCAAATAAGAATAATTACACTGTGATCAAGCATAGCCTTGAAGTTCAAAATGGGAATATTTACAGTGATCTTTCTGACCCAAAATATAAGATATATAATGATTGCCAGATTTGTTTCAGTGTTTCATGGATTTAACTCATAAAAGAATTGTATGTAGAAATTTTTTTCTTTCAAATCATCTCAATATCAGGAAACCAGCATTTAAGAAAATATATAATAGAGAACTTTATTATTTCATCATGACCTTTCTAATGAAAATCACAAGCAAAGTGTGCGTCCTCTGCCATTTCAATATTAAAATGTAAGATTTACAAACAAAAGTAAAGGACCGTTCTGAACAATATGACAAACAAGTCACTTAACAAATAAGCTATGGATCAAAATCTTTAGTCTATAGATGCCTAGTTACTTCATATTCATGCTTGATAACAGTCCAACCTGATAATGACTATTCTTAGTATCAAAATAACCATTTAGACAAGTTTGTTTGACATCAAACTAAAAATATGGGTGAATCTTCAAATGTCCAGAACATTTATCTCCAAAAATGGAGCATTTGATATTTCTCATAGAAAACAATAATATCAAAGAGGATATCAGGAAAAATAATGGGAGCTAATATTATAGACAACAAAAAGATTGTGAGATAGATGATTACATAATTCACCACAACTATTTTTCACATTATTATCATTAAGGGTGCACAAGACCCCATGGTAGACAGATAACACCCTTTTCAGATTGGCAGAAAATACTACATTGATAAAAGTTTATTTTATAGTAAAAGTCTCATTATCATTTTTATTCTCCAGTGTTTGGCTAAAAATTAAAAGATAGGATAAAAATAACAAAATTTTTCCATTGACACATTTTATCGAACATTTGATATGCAAGGAAAATGGTACAATAAGATTCACAATATCAACAAGCTATTCCAAAAAAAAAAAAAAAAAATCATGAAAAAAATTTATGTCAATAGGATAAGAATCACAGCATCAGGAATACTAACCTCAACTACAAATCGATCATCATCAATAAACATGGGAGAGCACCAACGAACTAGTCACTAGCACGAATTTTAAAAATTGTTTTGACATTTTCTATAAGGAAAATGTGATAGCATGACAAAGATAATAAGATTCAATCAAAAACACAGAGAGAGAGGTCCAAATCTCATAGAGCAATGAAGAGAATACATGAAATTCGATCGGAGAGATTGAAAAAGCATATTTGATATTACCATAATAGCAGATCGGAGAGACAGAGAGAGCAGATCTGATCGAATAGAGTGCAGATCTGAGAATAAGATCTACATCTCTACATCGTTGAGCTTGCTTCTACTCACTGTTGCTAACGATCCAGATCCAACGCTGCTTGCTTATCCTGTACGTGATCAAAGACAATAACACGGCACTCAAAACCCTAGAAAAATTGATTCGACAAAGAGAAAATACAAAACAGAAGAAAAGAAACTAGAAATCAACTATAAATCGTTAGTTTAAGCCATGAAAGTCTACAGATCTTGTGTGAATGTAGCAAATCCATATCAAAAAACTCTAACCTTGAGTCCTAGATCGACTTAGATAAGAGGGATTCAAACGATATTACAGATAAATGCTCAAATCAAGTGTGGAACAAGAATTTCCAGATGATACAACCAAAGAATCGATGGAGATCAAAGATCCAAGGCCTTGATTTCTCTCTCTCTCTCTCTCTCTCTCTCTCTGTCAAAAGTCACGCCTCTCTTCTGATCAGAGAAGTCCTGCCTCTTCAATCACAAATAAATGTTATTTCACAATTCTTTAATAACGACGTACAAAACGAGATGAGGTAATTAAATTTGCTGAAAAAGGGAAAAATAATGGGAGATTTCACGACGTCTTTCAAAAGTGCCAGAAAAAAAAACATCGTAATATCTTTTTTTTTTTTTTTGTAATGAGATGATGTAACTTAAATAGGATTGTAACTTTTTGACTATTTGGCTTTTTTTTATTATGCCAAACCAAGCTTAAATTTTAGTCTGGCCTTTATACATAAAATTATGACAGTTTATTTTTACATTTTTAGTTAAATCTCACTTTGATTCTTGCACATGAAATTGTAACAATCAATCTTATGTACTTTTATAAAATTTCACTTTGGTCCTATATAAGGCCAAGTTTGGCATCTACTAAATAATACAAAAAGTCAAAAAGTCACTATCCTATTTAAGTCACATCATCTTATTTAAATCACATCACTTCTCTAACACATCACACCAAACCCAACCCATATAAGTCAATAGGTCAAAAAGCGTACTTTTTTAGAACATCTCAAATCAACCCTAAATGTCAATGTCCCATTTCTATTATTCAATTATTTTAATTTTTAATAGAATCTAATCATGTGATAAAGAATATGATTATGACATGAGAGTAAGAAAGGAAAATTATCCACATTTTCTACCAATACACACTTTATCCCAAAATTTACATCAAAATATGATTGTATTAAGCTAAAAAAAGTGCAGATTGTGAACAATTAAAAAGATGAATTAGGATTTTGCATAAATTGGAATCACGAAACTCTATTTTTCACAGTAACATAGTCTTTTGTCTATTCATATTTCTTTCTCTTTGATTTCTTTATTGCATTTTCTTTTTAATTTCAAAAGTTCTACTTTCTTACATTTTCGTCCTAATTTGGAGTGATTATTCAATATTCCTGGAATATGGACACGTAGTACTCTATAAGGTTTTGATTGGTGGAGAGACACAAGGGCCCACGATTTATATTGGAGATGGGGGAACAACATGAGGCTAACTAATTGGTGATTGGTTTGGAGTATGGATACGTGGTACTCCGGGAGTATTGAATAATTTTTGCCTAATTTTTACCATACGAATATATATATATATATATGTATAGTATTATATTACTCTCATGTACTTATTAGGTAGGACAAAGTATATTGGTGAGAAACATGGATAATTTTTCTCTCTTATCCTCATTTCATAGTCATATTTTTGTCACATGATTAGATTTTGTTAAATATTTAAAAATAAAATAACAGAAGAGGGATATTAACACTTGCATAGAGATCAAAGTGAGATTTTTGAGTAAAAATGCAGGAGATTAACTATCACAATTTCATGTGTAGAGACCAAAATGAGATTTTGACCAAAAATATAAAGAGTTAATTGTCATGATCCGATATATAGAGATTAAAATAAAATTTAATACAAAATATAGACGTGCAAATTGTAATTTACTTATATTTATAATGTTTATCGCCTTTTATAAAAAAAGAAAATAAAAAGAAAATTTGCACTCCACTAATGTATAATTCCTTCTCTGGAAAAAAGTTGTAGGCCCTACTAACAACTGTATTAAATGCTATCATTAGGGTTTGATTTGGGAGCAAGTTGTATCAACAATTTATTTGCTTAGTGTGGTCTCGTTTGGTTAGTAATAATTTTAGTCAAAAAGTTAAGAATTTATTAAAAAAATTAAAAAGTTAATAATTTATATCAAAATGTTAAAGAATATTTTTTTTCTCTACTTTTTACATATTTTTTTATAAAAAATTAAAAAATCATCCTAAATATATTAATTTTTTTACATCATAATATAGCCAAAAAATAAAAAAAAACTACTAGAAAAACATATTCTCAAATGAGGCGTTATTAAAAGTTGTCAATTTCACTCTCCATTTTTGTGCATATTTCTATCCCTATATATAAAGCCTGAATGCTAGATGGACGAAATTTTTGGCGTTGGCAAAATTACCGTAATGACCCTTTGCTTAAATCTCAAAATGATGCCATTTTGGGCATGAATCTGACCAAAAAAAAAAAAAAAGGCTTGTTCCTTTCACGCCTCTCTCTCTCTCTCTCCATCAAATCCCAAATCCCAAACCCAGGCCCAAAGAGAATAAGAAGATGAATGAAGAAAATACGCAGAGAGAGCTTTGAACCCATTACAAGAAAATACACTATCGGCTATTAAAAAATTAGTTACTCTCTCCGTCCCAAAATAATGGTCCCTTTTGGAGAATTCAACTTTTTTTGATAGTACAATTATTGTACTTTTAAAATTTTGATTTTCCAAAATTACCCTTTGATAGTACACTTTTTTGGGGATATCAATGTCATAATTGTACTTTTTATATCATTTATGAATTTAAAAGAAGGGCAAAATGAGAAATTTATATTATTTTTGTACTTGATTTTTAAAGAGGGACTAATATTTTGGGACAATGAAAAATGGAATAAGGGACTAATATTATGGGACGGAGGGAGTATTAAAGTCTCTTATTTTTTAGTTCGTCGAAAGTTAATAGTGACTAAAATTTTTTAGCCGCTCAGTTAGTTGCTGAAGGCTTGTCAGCGATAGTATAGGCAACTAAAATTATGTTAGTCGCTAATTCTCTTCTTTTTGGCTAAAACTAACTCAGTCCCTAATTGACATCTTTTGGCAACTAAAATTGAAGTCGTCAAAAGTTCTCAAATAAAAATAAATTTCTCTTTCAACAACTAAAAATGTTTAGTCGCTAATACGTTTTTGTCGAAAATACTCCTACATTTAGTGACTAAATATTTTAGTTGCCATTTTATATCACATTTAGTCATCAAATATTTTAGTCACTGTTGTTGTTTACGACTAAAGATTTTAGTCACCAAAAAATAAATATTTTAGTCGCATTATATTTTACGAAAAAATATTTTAGTCGCTGAAGAATGTCATATTTTTTTGTGACTAAAATATTTAGTCGGGAAAAGGTTTTTTCTCATCTTGATTTGTTATTGTTTGGGATAATCTAAATAAGTATACTTTTGACTTTTTTACAAAAAGATGTGTAGAAAAGTAAAAAGGTGCACCTATTTAGTTTATGCCAAATAATTTTTAAAAAAAAAAATTGACTTTAATAGTTAAGAAGTGACTTTTGCTAAAATCAAAAGTCATAGACCCACACTATAGTGGCCCAGGTTAAGACCTGACCCTTTTTATATTATTTGATTTGAAATCTAATATCTATCGTTTTTATTGTTGTTATTTAAACACCTTATTACCTTGTTGTTGGGTTAGAGTGGATATTTGAATTGTTGGGTTATGTTTCGAACAGGTTGAGAGTTGGTATTCCAAAGGAATTTTTGTCTGATTGTTGTTGAATTCGTTCGAGCGATCATTTCTTCGCTTGAGAGGTCTTTCGTTTCTCCTAAAATAAGTGTCTACAATCTGAATTTCTAGGGGTAACGGTCTCTTTGCAGGTTGGAAATTTTGAGAGGGAGTCATTCTTCACTCGAGCAATCTACTCTACAAGGTTAAGCTTATAGGAATTTGATTTCTTCGCTCGAGCTATGGGTTGGTCGCTCGAGCAGTATTTTGTGTCTAATGCTCGAGCGAGCGGTATTTTAGTCGCTCGAACGGTCTGTGCATATAAAGGTACGGAGAAAAGATCTTTTCTTTCACTTTTTCCTTCCCCCTCTTTCTCTCTCTAAAAACTTTCGGAGCCATTTTCTTTAGCTTTTCTCTCTCTAGTTCTTATATAAATCACTTTATATACTCAAATCCGTAAATTTCGTTGTCTTGGTGCTTTAGGTTAAAAAGTAAACCTCGGAGAGGTGATCATTTTAATCTGAAAAAGTTCAAGATCTATCTCCGTCTCCATCAAATTTTAGGATTTATTTCTATTCTCTTCATACCTTGAGATAAGGATTTCTTTAGTATTTTGTATGGTACTTAATCTTGTTATGCGTTCCTTGAAAAGAGTAGTGTTTTGGGAGCTGTGGGTTTGATTTAGGGTTTAATTTGGAATGATTTGGGTTGATTTTGAGAGCATAAAAGATGAGTTTTCAAATGGGTACATGGAAAATGTTGTGGAAATGGTTGTATTGATAAGTTGAGTTGAAATCTTGAAAATCTTTCTTCTAAATGAATTTTGAAAGAAATAGATATTTGTTGGAAAACCTTAGACATTATTGATTTTGAATAGGAAGGAGAATGATAGGAATATGTTAGAACCTTATTGAGTTAGGAAGTGGAATGAAACATGTATTGTTATTCATATATTGAAATTTTGAAAATTTTATCTGTTGGTTATAATTTAATTCTTGTATAGAGATATCTGTTTTGGGCTATCGGTATATGATAGTTTTCATTGTTGTAAAAATTGCATGAGTATTAGGTTATTTGAAACAAATTACTCATACATCTTGTATTGAACATCGTTTCATATTTATACATTTTAAAAATGTATCGTTTTGAGAAAAATAGGTAAATACCTTGGTGAATCTGATTAGAGAGTGTGGTTGTGGTATTATCTATGTTGGTCTGTGTGTCTTTGGTGAAAATCCAGAAACCTACGCGGTTAGGTGTCAATCCTTCTGATTAATACCAGTAAAATGACTTTGGTAGTGCTTGCATAGCCTACTGGCAGACATGTACCTAGAGATTCCTAATGTTGTGTATCCACTGTCCTGTTTTCTGATTTAAAAGTATCTGTTCATGAATTGATTTATAAATATGGCATTGCATTGTTTTGAAGAGAAAAATGTAACATTTTGGTAAATAGCATTCATGTGCATTCACTATATGACTTGTTAAGCATCATACAATGTATTAAAGTAAATCTCTACTGGGCTTTAACTTACCACATGTAGAAACCAATTTTTAGGTGCTGATAGTATACCTCTGTTAAGGACTTAACTTGGGAAGATCTTGGAGCTTACGACTTATTTATTTTTGTGTTGTAAATTTTTTTTGTACAAGCCTCGGACTTTTTATTTGTATTGGG